AAAATCAGAACTCTCAGTAATTTTCATAAATTCCCCCAAAGCATAAGTTATTCTTTAGTATTTCTAAAATCAGATATACTCTTTACTTGCTATTATGGATTTCTAAAAGTTGTTTAGTAAATTAGAGATATTAAGCTTAGTAATATTTACAAAAATGATAGTCTATGGCAAATATTCAAACCCTAGAAAACACCAGCCACCATTACATGAAATTTGTAGTATTCAAATAATGTAACATTTGGATCTCCTGATGAGAGGTTAACTAGGTTAATAGCACTTGTCAGAATCATATGTTGAAATTGCCAATTTAAGAACATATTTTGCTCCCCAAACTTGTTATTCCTTGGAATTTCATAAGATTTGTATGAAGTACGCTATGCATAAAAACTTAATATGTATTTTTATTTGCAAGAATTCCTCACCAGTAGAGGCAAATAGGTCAACACACACACTTACAGCATGGCTATTGCTATATGCATGACCAACTGATTAGACTGTGGCCATCTTTTTTTCTGCACGCTCCTGTCCTGGTTTCCAAAAATATACCCTTAACCTTGGACTCTGTGTCTCAGTGTTTCCTGTTCCTGCATTCCACTGGATGTCAGTGGGTTCCTTCAAACCAGTAACACCTCTATGTTACTTACAAAGCTTTAATTCTTGCAAGAGAATTATAGAGCTCTCTCTTGTCTTCCTAATTTTCAACTGATTTTTCTTGAAACTTGAAATTCGAAAAAATGTAGAACTTTCCCGAGCACTGCTGGGAAGGAATTCTCATATGGAACACTAATCAAGATGTGCTGTAGGCCCAGTGGGAAGGCCTACCAGCAAGCTCTCTGGAAGGGGACATAGGGAGCTTGGTGAGGGGAGACTAACTAGGACTTGGGGGCTGCTACTAGCCCCAAGACAAAGCACCTGTAAAAATAGGACAGCACAGCCCATCTTCTTCAATTTTGCCTCATCTAGGAAATGTACTGGAAGCAGAAGCCACCAGCCTCATTTAGTAGCTAATGATGAACCTTTAAAAATGGAGACGAACCATGAGAGACGATGGACTCTGAAAAACAAACTGAGGGTTCTAGAGGGGAGGGAGGTGGGAGGATGGGTTAGCCTGGTGATGGGTATTAAAGAGGGCACGTTCTGCGTGGAGCACTGGGTGTTATGCACAATGAATCATGGAACACTACATCAAAAACTAAGGATGTAATGTATGGTGATTAACATAACAATAAAAAATTTTTAAAAGTGGAAGGAGATTGACATGGTGCTTGGAAAAGACAAGTCCTGATCTAGCCATCATGACTTGTTAGAGAAAGAAGGAAAATAAACTATACCCATTTCTTAACTTGTCATAAAGTTGACTTTTTGCCTAGGTATCTTTGTAAGGTTATATATAGTATAATAGATATAATCTCAAAGATAATGCCCCTCCCCCAATCCATCCATAGAGTATTTTGTAAAATCAAGGACATTCCCTTATATTCTTACATAAGCAGAATACAGTGATCAAAATCAGGAAAATAACATTGATACAGTACTATTATCTGATCAACAAACCTTATTTAAATTTCATTAGTTGTCTACTACTGTTTTTTATAACAAAGGAAAACTAATTTCCCCTCAGGCCCAGATTCCCATCCAGGACCACACACCACATTTAGCTGTCGAGACTCTGTCTCCTTTAGTATGGGGAAGTTCTTCAGTCTTTCTTTGTCTTTTATGACTTTGACATTTTGAAGCAGACAGACCATTTATTTTGAAGGATATTCCTTGATTTGGGTTTAATTGTTTCCTAAAAATTATAGATTCAGGTCCTGTGTTGGGGGCAAGAACACCATTGGAAATGATGTATTTTCTGGGTGCATCTTATCAGAAGTCATGTGATATCCATTTGTCCTGTAACTGGCAATGTTAACATTGACCACTCAGTTAAGATGGTGTCTGTCAGATTTCTCCACCATGAAATTACAGCTTTCCCTTTGTAGTTAACAAATATCTTCTGAAGGGTTACTTTGATACTATGTATGTATTCTGTTTCTCATCACCCATTAATTTTAACATCCATTTAAGATCCTTGCCTGAAACAATTTTAACTATGGGTTGTCAATTTTCTAATTCCAGATTTCTTCCTACATTTTTTAATTTGCAGTCTACATTAAGGAAGAGCTTTCCCTTCTCCCCATGCATTCATTCATCCATCTATCCATCCATTCCTTCATTGGTATGAACTCATGGATTCTTATTTTATTCTATGGCTTTTAATCCATATAATAAAAGCATTATTTATTTTAATGCTCAAATTGTCCTAGTTTTGGCCAGTGAGAACCCCTTGGATCTGGCTGCTACAGGTTGTGACATGTCCCCATCACTCTTGGAGCATTTCCTTATATTCTAGCACAGGAAAATGTCTAAGGCCCAACCCTAAAATCAGCTATTTCTCCAAGGAGCCCTAATTCCTTTTACTGGAAAATATTTAGAAACCCAGATCTGCATGCTAGATGCTGAGTGTGTTAAACACAGAAACATAGATAGGTTCACTTGTTTTTGTTTGCACTCCATTTTGGGTTTCCCTTTATCCTTGTTGGGTTTGTGTATTTATGTTTTGAACATATGAAACATAACATGATTCTAAAAGTCTAAATTACAGAAAAATATATATTTTGAGAAATGTCACTCTCCCCACATCCCTTCTATCTTGTTTCTATCCTCAATCCTTTCCATCCTATTTCCAACCAATACCAGCCATAAGTAACCAATCTCATTAGTTTCTATTTTGCAGAAATGAATAGATACATGTATATTTCCCCCTTATCTCTTACCTAAAAAGTACAAACTATAAATATGATTTTCTTTTTTTTCACACTGGAACACGTTACATATCAGTTCAAAGAAGTGTTCCTAGTTCTTTTCCATAGCTGCATAGTACTCTGTTGTATGGATATATTCAGCCACTTGCTGATGTTTGAACATTACAGTTCGTTTCCAACATTTTATAATTAAATTCAATACTGCAAATAATTCATTTACACATAAGTATTTTCTTATGTTTTGGAGGTGTGAGTTTCTCAAGGTAGAGTTGCACAAAAAAGAAAGTGCACATATAGTATTTTTTAAGATTTATTTATTTATTTGAGAGAGAGAACACACACGTGCATGAGTGGGGGGCAGGGGCAGAAGGAGAGGAAGAGAATTTCAAGCAGATTCCCTGTTGAGAGAGGACCCTGAGATCATGACCTGAGCCAAAATCAAGACTCAGACACTTAACCAACTGGGCCACCCAGGTGCCCCTACAGTATATTTAAATACTGCCAAATATCCCCCTAAAATGGTTGTGCCAATTTGCATCCCTATCATCAAAATATGAGACTACTTATTTCCCACAACCTTGCTAACAGAATGTGCTATCATACTTTTTAATTTTCACTATTTAAGTGAAAAATTATCTTGGTACCACTTTAATTTGCATTTCTCTGAGTGAGATTAAACATCTTTTCGTATGTTTAAGGATATTACCCATTTTTTACCCATCTTTCTAATGGGTACAAGCTTTAAAAAAAAAAAAACTTTGCTATGAATTGCATTTTCCCTTCAATTTGCTATGAAGAAACTACAAGGTATACATTTGCTTAACATTTATCCTGTTCCTTAATTTTTTCATAAGATCCTACCTACAGTAATGTTTTAGTTCTTGGATATGGATTCAGTCACTGTGAAAGTTTTATCAAGCTGTACACTTATGACTTACACACTTCTAAAAGCTTACTTTAAAAAAAAATCAGCTGATTTAATTCTGTACTAAATTATCAGTGTCTTGTCTGCCTAATGCCCAAAGGAAGCCTAATTATTCCCAGAATCATACCCAAGTAGCACTGACATAAAACTAAAAGGAAAAGGTGACGCTCTTAAGGAAGGGACCAGTTTGCACATCCTTGAAAGGTGAGCCCACAAAACAACATACACATATAACATCCTACCTCCTCTCCTATCATGATGCCCACTCCCACCAAACACCAGGACCTTGCCAAAATTGGCATCCCTAGACATATCTTCCCAATTTACCAACTAGGGGAAAGGATTTATCCAGCAGACAGCAGTAAGTGCCTTTGGTTTTAAGTTTGTGCCTACAATTCTTTCTTTGTGTCCCAATAAGTGATGCCCCTCTGTTTCAAGCCTCAATTTCTCCATAATTTTCAGGGAGAATAGAAGGAAAGAGGTAATCAAGTCTATTAAGTGTTAGAAGCTACTTAAAGACTCAGATGGACTTGGACTTTTCTACCATTCTCTATGCACTGTGCAGAGTTGGGATTAGTGGAGACACGTTCTCTCCTACCCTCAGCCTCTGGAATCTTCTTTGGTATGGGAGAGATTGGGTAATCCAAATAAAACTGCTCTGGAGTGATGACAGAGGAATTTTTAAAGATGACTTGTCTATTTGCTGCATCTTTCAGGACAGTTCAGAAAAGGGGAACAGCAGGGGCAACACACCTTCAGAGAACTGGTGCCACCTGAATCATCGTCATGCTGTCAGCCCGACGATGACCCAGGCTCTCCCATGGAGCAGCCTCCAGGCTGTCTGGGAAGTCTCTGAGCAGATGGTCCGGGGGAGGATGTGTGGGGCAGATGGCAACAGTAGTTGTCAGGCATGAAGACTAAACAGTGTTGGCAGAAGTCAATGATAGACTTCCACCCTCCTAGTTCTATCCCCACATAGCAGCCAGATGATGGTGCTTATTTCAAGGAGTTTCCAGTAATGGCATTTGATATATATCATGACTTTCCAAGGGAAGCTGGGGGAGTTTCACCTGTGTGCAGCCTGGACATCCTGACACATGCATACACTTCATCCCCCCTAGCCTGTGTGTTGCAGGCCGAAGTCACAGTAAACATACACACATACTTTCCTATTCTCACCCTCTCCCTATTTGAGCAGCATTAGGAGTAGAAGCCATTCCAGTGGCAAGAACTGGTATCCCAAATCCAGGCTCTCTGAGGATCACTGGAAGCTAGTTTGACCCCCAGTTTTGCACAGTATACTGTATCGTCCATGCTTGTGTGGTGCAGGTCTGGAGCACAGGCTCACAGATGCCCGAAGTGTCTTTCTTCATCTCCAGACATCGCTTGGTGGCTCCGTTCATGACAGCTTTTCCCTGGATAGAAGAGACAGAGTCAAGGTATCAAAATGCCCTCATCTCCCCCGCTTCTGCGCTTCCTGCTGTGCTCAGCCACATGCTTGAAGGCTCCCTCAATCATCTGCCAGTCATCCAGAGCGGAAATGAAGCAAAGGGCAGAGTTAGACCACCCAGGGCTTTCTCTACTAGTACCGTGGCAGACTAAGCACAGATCTAGGAGGAAGCAAGGCTGTGCTGGGTTTCTGTTATCATCCACCTCTCATGAGGTTGAAGCATCAGGGCAGTGTGACTGTCTAGACACGACACATCTTGGAGAGCCATGGTCCTTCTCTACTTGGCCTTCCTTTCCACATCTTCACCCCTGAGCCCATGAAACCCATCAGGATTCTCCCTCCCTCTTCAGTGAAGCTTGGTGGCCAAAGGAGCAGAAGCTACATTCAGGCATCTCAGCCTGTTTTCTCTACCACTGTGGGGGATGTGGGGGGGGGGGGCAGTTCCTACCTGTTCTGCCCTGCGGGCTTCATCAAAGTTTACTACTGGGAATGTTATGGGCTTAGGAGCCAAAGAGTCTGGGCTAAATCCCTACTCCACCACATACAGCAGAGGGCTCTGGCAAATTACCTAGCCTAAGTCTCAATTTCCTCATCTGTGAAATGGGTTTATAGTTAATATTAGGGTTAAAATTAATATTAATTGAATTAAGTTAGTTGCTTAATATTTATTGAGCATCTTGTGCCTGACCTGAAAGATGTGCCGTAAATAGTACATCTCTGCCTCTTCCCATTCTAATGGGGGAAGGGGAGGAAGGGTTATTCTTCCTTTTGTTCCTATGTGCCACCTCCAGCCCCCAGAGCGCCTTCCTCGTATCTATGGCTCAGCTGCTGTCATCGTGCCCTCTGCCCTGGTCCTGTTCTCTTCTCCTAGCCCTCCCATTTCCTACACCCCTCTCTACCTCTTTGCAGGAATCACTCACAGAATCTGTTTCAGTGCCTCGGTGAAGTTTTCGCTTTATCCACCCTGCCCTTCGCGGTCCTCCTGAGTTAACAGCCTCCATTTGAATGTCTGGTGAGAGACCCTGATCTCACCGACCCACTTTGGAACCTACCACCAAACATTTCAACACTGAGCAGGGCTGCAGCAGTATGTCCAAACCTTGCTTCCTCTAATCTCTTTCCAGCACAAAATGCAACCCCCCACCGCCAACCCTGCTCCCCTAAACTTGCCTGCCCTGCCCACACTGGACTTCTCTGAGGTACACCTCCCCGGTGTACCTCCCCAGTGTGGGCAGTCACGCAAGCACCCCTGGTTCTAGAAATCTTCCCGTCACCGCCACTGCGCCTTTCTGTGGGCCCTGTTTGCAGCCCACACGGCGCTCCTGGAGAGGGTCCACCAACCAAGCAGGCCTGACCACAAATGTGCCTACAGCAGTCTGGCTTAAAACTTGGCTTACTCCTTAGGGTTACTCTTCCAGACCTCTTCAGCACTCTTTAACCCTGGTCCCCACTTGGTGCTTGGTGCTTGATGCTCACTTACACTAATTTTTTCACTTTGTTGAGAAGATCACACTGCTAGCCAGTCTAGCCCCTCCCGGACTGCCATGAGGGACCCTCAGGACACTGCTTGTGGGTGGTCTCAAAGGAGCTGCCCTGCCTCTGTCTCTACTGCTAGCAGCCCCTGTGCTCTGATGTGGATGCCAGAGAAACACTCTTCCTGTTGAACACCGCTCTTTCATTTCTCCCTCTGGGCAGATTCTTTTTCTACTGACTTTAAATATACCCAAATGTCCCGATATTAGAGGGGGAAAAGAATCCTTAACTCTACCATCCTTTTTAATCAAAATTCAGTGCTTTCCTCCCTTTCAGAATCAAACTTCCCAAGCAACGAGGCGATAACAACAGTGGATAAGATTCTGTGTTTGAATCTGGACATTTAATCTGCTGTGTGACCTTGGTTATATTATTTGACTCTCTGTGGTTTAGTAACCTCATAAGTAAAGTAGAGCTAATGATAATATTTCTCTTGTAAGATTTATGTGAGGATTAAATTAGATCGTGCCTGTACATTATATGTACTCAATAAATCTTGGCTGTTCTAATTTATTGTGATTTTTTAGATAAAGCCAGTGACTTTTTTTTTTTTCTATTTTCTCTCCACTTCCCTGTGACATGTCCTTTGGAAGTATTCTTTGCACCTTCTTCAGACTCCTTCTCTGGTTTCCTTTACATTGTGTTCATCTGGATCTCATACATTTTTGGTTTGGTTTTTATTTGTGGGGTGTTGGCTGACAGTTTTTAAGGAATTTTTGGTTTTGTTTATTTTCCACTTTCACAGAAGGAATATGTGCTCTTTTAATTTGGAAAGCATATTTCAAAAATTAGAAGTACTCGTAATAGAATAACATTGTATATATGTTTGTATATCCTGCTTTTTATGATTTAATATCTCATGTACTTTCCAATTTCATTAATTTTTGAAAATATACTTTTTGAGGATATAATTTGAATGGCTATATAATATTCAGTTCAATATTCAGGGGATGAACAAAAATCTCCCCTACTGTCGGGCATTTAATTTTTCCTAATATTTTGCTATGATAAATGTTAAGATATTTTCCATATTAGTTTTGATGCACATTCTATATTATTTTTTAAAATACTGCCTTAAAGCAGAATGAGCACCATAAAAGGGTCACAATTAATTTGGGGGCGCTGATTAGCGTCAGGGTTTTTCATGCAGAGAGCTAAACTGCCTTCCGCAACTGTGCCCACTAGCGTGACAGCATTCCCACAGGTATCTCTTCCTTTTTATTTCTCAAACCCTGACTGTGTATGGTCTCCTCATTCTCACTGCCTCTCCCAGAGCTCTTCTTTGTGTCACTCAATCCGGAAGACTTCCACATGATGACATTTACCCCAACCCTCCATTATTTCAGTATGTCTCTACTTGCAACTCTGCTCCTCATTTCAAAGTCCAGATGTTCAAATTGGGTCCCTTCTCAGTCATTGATGCCATTTCTCTTGTGGCTTTCAGAAGTCATACCTCCTCTGGTTGACTCAAACCTTGAATCATGCAATTGGAAGACAAAAGGATTATTTAGTCTTATCTCCCTCTCAATTCTGGAAATTATCTTTGGTAGCTTTTTAGTAGAATGAATGTGTAAGTTGTGTCTACAACTTTCTTACGTGAAAGAACTGTGATCCTAAGATCAGGTGGATAGGAAAGGCTTAGATAGAATGAATTGACTCATGAGCTACATGACCACCTCCTTCTTCAACTTCTGGACTTCTTGACACAGTGACCTAAAAAGGGACCTGGCTTGGACATTGGAGTGGTGGGCAGAATTCCCCTGCATATCCTGCAGCTCCAGGCCTCACACCCAACCAGAATCTATATTCTCTCAGCAACTTCAGCCAGCTGAGAAAGTGATCTTTCCAAAATTCTCTTGGAAAGGCAAACCTCAAACTGTTTGAGATGTTACAATTGTTTCTTTAGCATAACTAGTATGTTTAATTCCCGGGAGATTTAGGATCAAGTAAAGGTGTTAAAGGAATCAAACACATAGTATTTGTTAAAGATTCTATGTATAGTTACTATTTTAAAGTACCTGCTACGTTTTTAAAAAAAAAAATCTTACAGATTAACCTTGTGTTACCAATTTAAAAATGTGTAATTGAATAATTAAGTTTGTGAAATCTTACAAATTACACTGTTGAAACATATAATGGAATTTAAGAATCATTAATTTAAAATCAGATAATTGACATTCTTAAGAAAGAAAATTCAATGTATTGAATTTATAAATACAGTATGTAATGTTTAAGGGAATTTATTAAATTGTAAAGGTCCCCTATAAAGTTGCTAAGAGGGTAGATTTTAAAAGTTCTCATCACAAGAAAAAAATGTTTTTGTAATTATGTGTGGTGATCGATATTGACTTACTGTGGTGATTATTTTGCAATTTATGCATAAATTAGGCATATTATGTTATACACTTAAAACTAATATGTCACTTGTATAAACAAATTAATAATTCACTGTTGCAAATAACTTTATACTCATAAATTTGAAGAAATGGACCAATTGCTCAAAAACCATAAAGCACTGAAATTCAGTCAACATGAAATAAATGATCTGAATAGCCCTGAACTATTAAAAAATTTTTCAATTTGAGCTCCAGGAAGAAGCTCACCTGTGCACACAGGGCTAGAAAGCTGGCAGGTCTGAATGCAGGAAGTGTGCAAGGAGAAAAGTGTCTATGCTTGGGTGCTCCAGAGTGGAAACCAGGCTCACTGAACTTGGCTTCAGGCTCAGGGGATTGTGCTGATACTTTTGAGTATAGGCAGGAATTTATGGGATACACACGAGGCCAAAAGGGTTTTAAAATATATTAATGCCTGGTTTAAAAGCCCCTGGAAAAGAAACTCCAGTCCCATATGGTTCCACTGGAGAATTATACCAAGCACTTAAAGAAGGATTAACGCCAATTTAAGACAATCTCTTCCAGAAAATCTCTTCCAGAAATGCCTCTTTCAGAAACTGATCTATTCTAAATTTTTGTCAATAGGACAAATTTTATCAATTAGAAAGAGAAAACACCTCCTAACTCACTTTATGAGGACTGTATTACCTTTATACTAAAACCAAAGACAGTACCAAAAAGAAAAAAGAAGAAAAGAGAAAAGCTGCAGGTCATTACCTCTAATGAAATTAGACAAAAATCTTCAACAACATACAAGCAAACAAAATCCAATAAAGTTATGAAAAGAAGTGTACACCATGACTAAGTGTGATTTATTCCTGGCACACAAGGTTGTTCCAACATTAGAAAATTAATCAGTGTAATCCATCACATCAACAAACTAAAGAAGAAAAAATATCATATCAATTGACAAAGGAAAAGCATTTGGCAAAATCCAGCTCACATTCACAATAAAAATATTTCTTAGCAAGTTAGAAATTCAGATAAATTACTTCAATTTGATAAGGAGCATCTACAAAAAATCTACAGCTAATGTATA